TGATAACTGTGTTTAATCATTTGGGGAATTGCCAGACCACCTTCCACAGTAGCTGTTTTACATTCCTACGAGCAGTGTGTGTGGTTCCAATCCATATCCTTGCCGACACTTGTTACCTCACATTTGTATTCTAGCCACCCTTTTGGGTGTCCAGTGGCATCTCATTGTCTTGTGTTTCCCCAATGGTTAGTGATGTTGAGTGTTGGCCATCTCGTATCTTCCTTGGAAACATATTCAGATTCTTTGCCCATTTTTAATTGAGCTTTTTCTTATTGAATTTTAAGAGTTCTTTATATATTTTAGATAGAAATCCCTTATCAGAAATATGAATTGCAGATATTTCCCCCCATTGTGGGTTGTCTTTACACTCTTTTAAATATTGGCAAATTATAGCTATAAATTTCACTGTGATCACTACTTTCACTCCTAAGTTTTGGTATGTTGTGTTTTGGTATTTTTGGTATGTTGTATATTTATTTTCATTGATCTCGAAGTATTTTCTCTTGCATGTGACGAGTCACTTCTGTCTTGCTGTTTTCAAAATTCTCCCTTTGTCTTTGTCTTTTGAGAGTTTGAATATAATGGGTCTTGGTATGAATATTTGCCATCATATATGGGGAGTTTTGAGCCATTATTTTTTTCAAATACTCTTTTTCTTTGTATGTTGATAAGTTGCATGGTGTCCCCTGAGTCTCTGAGCCTCTGTTTAATTGATGAGAGGGAGGGAGGGGAGGAGGGAGGAGAAACACTGATTTGTTTCATTCATCCACGCATGCACCAGTTGATTCTTGTGTGTGCCCTGACTAGGGATCAAACCCGAAACCTTGCCCAGCCGGGTATGGCTCAGAGTTTTGAGCATCCGCCTAGGATCCAGGTGATTGGGGTTCAATTCCTGGTCAGGGTGNGTTTTGAGCATCCGCCTAGGATCCAGGTGATTGGGGTTCAATTCCTGGTCAGGGCGCATGCCCAGGTTGGGGGCTTGATCAATGACTCTCTCATCATTGATGTTTCTATCTCTCTCTCTCTCCCCCTCCTTTCCTCTCTCTGAAATCAATAAAGATATATTTTTAAAAAAACCTCAAAACCTTGGCTTATCGGGGACAACACTGTAACCAGCTGATCCACCTGGTTCCTGGCCAGGACTGTTTACTTTTCCTCAGTCTTCTTTCTGTTCCTCAGATGGGTTAATTTCAATAGACCTATCTTCAAGTTTGCTGGCTTTTTTCTGCTTGGTCCTGTCTGCTGATCCATCAAGCTCTTCTAGTGAAATGTTTATCTCAGTTATTGTACTTTCCAATTCTAGAATTTCTATTTGGTTCCTTTCTGTAATTTCTGTCTCTTATACTCTCTATTTAGTGAGACATCATTCTTTCTTTTTCCTTTAGTTCTTTAGACATTCATGGTTTCCTTTAGTTCTTAAAAGCTGATTTAAAATGTGATACTAGGCCCGGCCGGGCGTGGCTCAGTGATTGAGCATTGACCTGGGATCCAGGCAATCGGGGTTCGATTCCTGGTCAGGGCACATGCCCGGGTTGCGGGCTAGATCAATGACTCTCTCATCATTGATGTTTCTATCTGTCTCCCCCTCTCCTTTCCTCTCTCCGAAATCAATAAAGATATATTTTCAAAAAACCCCTGCTAATTGTATCACTCTTTAAAAAAAAAAAAATGTGATACTAGGATAAGTTAAAACAGTACAAAGCTTGCTGTTCTTACCAAGATTCTACTATCTTTCTTGACCAAATGCTCTCTGGGTTGCTGCAAGCCTTTGGTTAATTTCCAGAATTCTGTGAAAGTTGATTCTGATAATATATGGCAAGTTGTTCATTGCTTTAATGGAGGAAACAAAGTTTTGGTGGTTTTTACTGGACCATTTTTGTCGATCCCTCGCTTGGATTTTGAGTCAAACTACAGAAAGATATTTTTGAGACCAACTGCAAAAACTGAACACAGACAGTTAATTAGATTATTAAAATTTTAATTTTGTTGGATAGGAAAATTGTGTAAGGTCATATATATAT